TCCAACGATACTGAACTAAACATAAACTATACCTGAGTGCCTAACTTCTGCTAATTGATATCAAAAGATTTTGTAGAAACCTACAACACATAACTGAGACATTCTCTATCCCTTCACTATAACACTGTCACCTTTATTAACTTTCAAGACTCCACATTCACTGGTGTACTTGTAACCTTTTAAATCAAGAGTACTCAAGGAGATACAATTTCTCTTCAAGTTTAAAACATGCCTCACCTTATCAAGTGCCTAGCAGTTCCATAAAAAATCTTAATCTTGACCTTTCAAATATCGCTATCTTACAAGTAGCATTATTTTTCATTACCACAATACTTTTTGAAACTGATTCATATGTTGAAAACCAATCATGATTAGGACACATGAAAAGTACATTTTGTATCAAAAATCCAATTCTCGTCAAGTTTAGAGGTGTCATTAGAAATAATCAAAAGTTCTCTATCATCGTAACAATCTTGTGTAATATTGGCTTCACCTGAAATTTTTGTTGCTTTTCCTTCTGATTTGTAGCAACTGATTTATTCCTATTATGCTGCTTATAACAATCCTTCTTAATGTGCCCCTTTTTTTTCTTGCAGTAATTACAAAGCTTATTGCTAAAATTAGATTTAAATATGCCTCTATCATAACCACCATAAACAACAAGGCATTTTCCATGAGCTTCCGATCCAAGAAGATACTTCATCTTCTCATTTGAAAATAGAGAATCAAAAAATTTATCAATGGTGAGAGTAAAATGACCGTATAAGAATGTATCCAAACAACATATATCAAATGGGTAGCGAATACAACAAAATCAACCCTAAATCTTTTCATCATACTTAACTTCAAAGGTCTCCAGATCAACGGTAATTTCCTTAAAAATAGTTAGTTGATCTTCTAGTAACGTACCTTCAGTTATACAATGAGAATACAATCGTTGCTTTAAATGCAATTTACTGGTTAGACTATTTGTCATGCATAGTTGTTCCAACTTCAACCATAATGTAGAGACAATTTTCTCCTTTAAAATGTCTTGAGGATTTTGATTCGAAAGATGAAGACGAATTTGTGATAGAGTCTTTCGATTTTTACGTTGTTTCTCTGGGTAACTTGTCAAATTTCATCAAAATATTATCCAATTTTATGGGAGCGAGCACTACTCGCATTTTTACCTGCCATAATGAAAATCTTATGATGCAATCCAAAAGCATAATATCATACTTCATGGTTGTCATCACAAAAATAAACCTCAAACAAGTTGATCAAACTTCTCTCTCTAATAGCATTCGTAATAAAATAAGGTGATACCAATTTGCTCTGATACAATCAAGGAAACAAGATTTACATGGAAAACACTATAGGCAATGGAGGAGAATTCAATATAAGACGAAAGTACTCAAGATTTTGTGTTTATAGCTTGTTCTAAATCACAATAAAAAGTCAACCATATATAGAGTGCATATCAAACACTAATTATAGTGTTACAGATGGAATGAGTATTTTAAAATTTCCAAATTGCGAAATTGGCTTGGACCAGATAACACCAACGCTTGAGCGGTAAAGTTGGCACGCAACACTCGAGTGCCAAACCTCATGGACAACAAGTAGTGGGAGAACGCTCTGTTTGGCGCTCGGGCGCTAAAATTCCATTCCAAATTCGATTTTCACACCCAATTGGGGCTTGGGCGCCAAATCTCTACCCCAAAAAATTCCGAATTCATATTTTGATGCCTTCTTGAACCAAAACGTCAATTATCAAAACGAATTTGGGTCACAATTCAATATAACCTGAGAGGTTTAAATTCTACACCTATTCAGGCTATCAAAAGTGGATATTTGAGAGTAAAGTTGAATGGATTGCTACTTAATTTTTTTAAATATGGATTGTTGTAGGATATATTCAAGTTTGGATTGGTTCTGATCAAAAGAAGTGGTAAATCAATCACCAAAATGAAGGGCAGAAAAGGAAGAATTCTAAAGTTGAGGAACTAAATTGCAAATCTTCAAGAGTTAGTTCAGGCCAAGAAATGATGATTTAAGATAACACGGAGTCAATTAGATGAAATTAGAAGAAAAATGGTGGAAACTACATGAAAAAAGGACTCAAGATGCACAACTTATAAAACATGGAATAAATTGTGCACTCGATGACTGCAGAGAGGACGCTAGTCCAGATTCTATTACTTTTGGGCACAAATTAAGACCTAAATCTTGTCCTATAGATACATTACTTCCTCCTACAATGGAAGGCGCCTCTTACATCATAAATAAACCAAATCTTGCAATCAAAGAGAGGCAATTCATCATTCTTTTGGAAAATCAAGAGGCCATATATAAGAATTCATTCAATTGAAAATATAATCTTGATTTGTGGGCAAAGAAGAAAAATGCACAATCAAGAAACCATTGATGAGATTCAAGATTTCAAAATTTCCGCTCTTCTTCTTCAATAGTGAAAATTTCGGGTGATGTTCTACATAACAATTATGACTTCTTATAACTTTATAATGTTAGGTAAAATATTCATTTTCTATGAACCCTTATTATGAATTTTAATATAATTTCAATATTTTGACGCTCAATACATATATGTTTATTTTTGGATGATTATTATAAGACTTAATAATTTTCAATTAATTAACTAGTAATTGAATTTTTATTTGATTTCTATTGTCATTCGAGAGAAGGAAAACGAATTTGGAGCATTATAACAATTGTTGTGAGGATCGATAGATGACAGAGATATATCAATTTACCTTGTATGACATCAATAGATGTTCTAGGGTTTTAATACTTACTTTCATGTTTGTATATTTCATTGAGATATATGAAGGTCACATGAGAACATAAATTTAATTTTACTCGATTGATTATTAAATAATTTAGGAATATTGATCAAGAAACAATATATATTGTCATGATATTGAATTGCATTAAATTGAATTAAAAGCACATATTTAACCTAATCTTACTTATCTTTTATATTGCTCATTAAAAAACCTAGCGTAATTAATTAATTAGTATAAATACTTCATACAAACTCAGATATTCGATTAGAGTTATCACTAGTTGATTCTAAATTAAATACATAGTTTATGTGGGACAATACTTTTCTTATCATTATTTTATTTATCTACGATATCGTGCACTTGCAAGATTTTGTACTATCATAACCTCAGGGTTAAATTTCTCTTTAATGTCATACTTCCCTCTCAATTTATACACCCATATCAACTTACCAACTTATATATTCTCATTAATAATTAATTTTTTAAAGAATTCTAAAGTAATTTGAAAAACAAGATATAGGTCAAACCAATTAATGGATATCCAGTAGCTATCACGCTTCTTTGACTTGGATAATTGCACATGAACGTTATTTCTTACACCTTAAACATAAATGTTGCAATTATTAGTGCAAGTACTTGCATAAGGGATTGTAATTGCTTACATATATACTGACTTAATTTCACATTGAAGGAATCAATGAGACAATATTGCATAAAATATAAGCAAAAGCTCCTCCATGCCTAGTTAAAAGCAAGCTAATTATAGATTTATGAGCGGTTTGTAAAGAAGATAATTTCTAGTATCTTTTTGTTTGAATTTACCCATAAAATAAGTATCTTAGTCGATTAAACGCTGAATTTTCTGTTAGTTTCAGCGGCAAATTTCTGCAAACCCTCAAAATCTCTACTAAGTATATACAACCAATTGTGATTATCGAGTCCTGCATGAGTGATATTTCCTTTATCCTCCATCTTCTACATAAATAAAATTCAAGATTAAGCAAGAAAACCCTAACCCATTTTCATTTTAGTCCGAACATAAGTACTAATTATTTGATTACGCCCCAAAAATCGATTTTAATTAGAATCATTAACAGAAATAATTAAATGATCCTCATGATATGTTCGAGTAGTTAACTGTTTCACAAGAACATCAATGCGTACAAATTATTCGTTCAAATTGTATGATCACAGAAAATTGTGCAGGAAGTTTTCCAATACTATAGCTACAGCATATTTATTCTAGTACTTTCAATTTATGAATGTGGGTTCATTAATTTTGTACCCAAACATTACTGATACCACTGTTATGGACGACTTAACGTTTTTGTTAACTACATCAAACATCGCGTGGCCTTAACGTTGCCAAGTTCCTTCCCTTTGCAAGAACACGTTAAGTCCAACTCTTCACGACTCACGAATTCAACCCTTTAGAGGTTATATAAACTGTAACCGAACTTAAGAAAATAGGGACAAAAGGTAGAATAACAAGAACACAACGATAGTTTTGGGAGAAAGCATGAACTTCGTACAAATTGCAAATGAACTCACACAATCACATAATGTGTTTTTCTCTATCCCTTCCGCCTAATCAAGCGACACCATTGTACCCGTGTAACGTTGGAGCTTGCCCTTGAACTGCCACTAGTCTTAGTCACTCTCCCAAGTTGCCTCATGAGATTCAGGCAGCTCCTTTCGTTTGATTAAGTACTGGATGCAATGATAAACACCACGTCGTCTTACTTTTTGGTCTGCCGACACTACTCCATCTCCTTTTCATATGACTTTTTCAAATTCAATACCAGTTGATAGCTAAAAGTTATTTATCGGTATATCTAATACTTTTTCATCATCTCAAGTTTCTACTGGTCAAGTGAATGCACAGAGTATCCATATTATTTGTCAATAAAAAAATCTGCATTGGTGAAATTGAGATCTGGAGTTTTCTTTTTGTATATTAAATGTATGATGAAATGTGAAAAGACCTTGATTGGGAAATTTTTGACCCTATTTCTATGAAAGAGGTGAAAATTCGGGCATAATAGTCCATATTTGTGCTGCCTATTAATACGAAAGAATTCAAAACAAAACTTCAAACTGATAGAATAGAAGTTCAAAGTTCACTCCCTAAAAGAAATAATACACCACATTTACAAACCAAGTCTTTTACACACAATGCTCTTACTGCTTAAATTGAAATTTTGAGATGCCCTAGTGAAGAGAACTAGTATTACCTGCAAATGTAGCTGCCTCTGTCATTTCACAGATATCGGGGTTGATTCTGTCACTGCTCATTTCCGTATATCCAAGAAAACCCATGTAATTGTTGCTGGAATCTATGCAACAAGAGAGAACATCATAGCTCTGATTATAATCAGAAATAGGACAAGACAGTGAGCTTTCAGCCCCCAGAAAATTTTCAGTTATGCCAACATTTGCTAACTGATGAACAAGTGGGTAAGAATCGACATATTGTGGAGTTAACTCTTCAATAGCTTCAAAGGGATCCCTCCTAGAACAACCTAATTGCTCAAAACTATTAGGGTTTTCTTCGTAACAGGTGGTCGAATCTTTAAGGATTTTGATTAGCATTTTTTCTCTTGTTCTTTCTCGTGCCCTTGCCCTTGCCTTCTCCCTAGACTCTCTCCTACTAGGTTTAGACACTGGTTTTTGCAATACTCTATCATCGTGTTCATATGGGTTACTTAATAATCCTAAGTTTTGTGCTCCAACTATCGATCCTGCATTGAATTCATTGTTTGAATTCTCTATTCCTGATAACACTTCGCACTCAGATGCAAAAGACTCACTCTTTGCATCACTACTGGAACTCTTCTTCACTTGGGAACAATCTTTCTCGAGCTCCCTGATCGCCTTCTTCGATTTGGTGAACAGCCATTCGATGGTTTTACTTGCTTTATCATAGCCTAACATGTCTTGGAGATCAAAAAATTTGCGCGCAACTTGAAGTGATAATCTCATTCTTCGATCTCTGATTCCTTGAGCTGTACAAATCTTGCTGTGCCTGTCCTTCTTCCAGGTTTTCTTCTTTGGTACTGCTCCAAGATTTCTCTTACTTTTTGGTGGAGTACCCAGTTTACGAATCCAGACAGCTTCTTTTTCTTTGTTCAATTTTGAGAGTTTAGTATCGATTATTGGCCCCCAGTTTGTAGTATCCATGCATATCTGATTCTGATTAGGTACAACTTTATGTCCATTGATGATCTGATGCTGAAGAAATATTTGATTCAAGGGCAATTCATGATCATCTAAAGAAGGTGAAGGGAAGTGGAAGAGAAATGGAGGGTCTAGTCCTTGACTGGAACTAGGGCTTTGTTCATCATAAGTAAAAGACCCTTTGAGGAAGGACTCAAAAGGGTTATTTCTGTTGGTTGAAGGAAACATGTCTTAGTGTTGTTAATGCAGTATATTTGTATAATATATCTCTAACTTTTGAAGCCCTTCAGGTGTTGTAAATTGAATATTTCTGCACTAAGGCAAGATGAGGAGGTACTGCATCAAAAGATAATGGCGAGAGAGAGAGAGAGAGAACTAGTGTATCATCTTCCTTGTGAATGCTAGGGCTACACTTTTCCATTGTCAATGCCTACTAGAAGATGACTCAGTGCTGATAGTGATGGATTAAAAAGGGAAATTACGGCTATGGTCATAAATGTTTAACAAATTTTTCACTTGGGTCCGCAACATTCTCTTTTAACATGTGAGTCTCCAATCTTTTATTCTAGGAGCATTTTTTTAAAAATTAAACCACTACTTAGGTATTAATTTTATTAATAGGAAACTGGAAGATACAAAATATTATTCATTAATGTCTTCACGTACTTCAACCGATACGAAAATCTGAATACAATCAACGTAGTTCAGCGGAGTTGGGCATAGAAAAGGAGACACAAAACGTAATCACCAATTTTATTCTTATCTTCATATATAAAGGAATAAGAAAGTAACACTACTTTGGGAACTAGGCAAAATCAGATTGCAGACTCTAGGTGATCTGAAGAGAGCCACTTTCCATAAAATCAATTTGGAGTTCCATTGCAAGGAGAAGCCAAGATTGTATTGCAATAACCTCAGCATCATCAACCTCAAACCTGTTGTTTTCCGAGATGCCCACTTTGCCATCTCCGCCCATTGGCGGATTTAGTGTGGGGCAGTGGTGTTAACTGTCCGACACTACATTTCAATTCAAATATCTTAAAGATTTTTCAAAATTTTGCAAAAGATTTTCAAAAAATTTCTTATAATTTTAATTTTGCCTCATAATTAAATTTTTGTGTAATTTGCTCCCACAACTCTTTTATCCTAACTCCGCCCTTATCACTGCCCCTAAACGGTCACAATCAGTGTCAATAGATCAATCCTCTTCCCGAACAATCCGATTTGTGTTCATCTCGACCTACCAAGGTGTTAGTTTCGATGAAAGAGAATTTTAACATTACAATCAAATATACAAATAAATAAAGAATAAACTTAAAACAAAATTATAACACAAAGCAAATTACAAAATGTTAAAGACTTTGGGTTTCATTTTAAAATGCCAACCTTGTTAAGAGGAGTAATCGAAATCGTTATATTTTGGCCTATGTTTTCATCTTTATTCGATGTGAAATTTTATCTTTTAATATGCTCTTACAAGATGGTGGCTCTTTGGGCAAACCAATCATGAAATTCGTATGCTCATTTTTTAGTCTGTCGAATCGAATAGAATCAAACTTCTCGTTCGAGCTTAATTGACACTAATACCATGTTAAGATTTGAAATTCCATCTTAAAAGGTTAATTTTGTTAAGAAAAGTAGTTCAAACCCTTATAAGTTTGTCTATATATATTTTTTTATTCGATGTGGGATTCATCCCTTAATACGAAAATATTTAGTAAGTTATCTAAGATACTTTCGACATTTTTAAAAATTACATAATCCTCCACTAATTTTTCCACAATAAATTCCCCCGTCAACCAAAAATAAATATATACTTCCTAGTTTATCGTTTTATTTCATAATATATCTGAAACTCTTATGAGGATATATGTAAACTATTTTTATTTTTGTCTCTTTTTTATTTCTTACTATATTTTATTTTTATGGAAGCATGTCTTTTAGTTAAAGTATATATGCTAGTGAGTGGATGCATCACAGCTAACCACCTGAAATAAAGAGAATCGAAGCTTGCCCTCAACGATGGAGTGATTGGATTGGTTATTATAAGCGAATTGATGGAATTTCTACGTTTCTCTCCCCTACTGTTTGTGGCTATTTGCCTTAATGAATTTTGTTTCGTTATGAAAAATAAAAAATGAATATTTATTTCACATAAAAATATATTGTAAAATTTTATTTGGAGTTTGTTTGATACACATTACTTTTGGAGAATGTATTTTAGAATGGTAGATTGAAAGAACGTATGGTTAAAAAATAAGGAATAATTTTGAATTTACGTGTAATATTATTTATTAAAAAATGTATGATTAAAAAAAATGGAGAAGAATGAATTGTATCAAATAAGTGCATGATATTCATCAATTGCTGTGAGAGAGAGAGAGAGAGAGATTGCTTTGGACAGGTGGTAAAAACCCTAAGAAATTGCAGTCAATTATAATTGTGTACAACCCTACAGACCTAGGGGTTAAGGGCAGGACAATTATTAGAATCACTATTAAACTTACTTTATTTCCAATTGTTTCTTTGACCGAGAGACTATCCTATACAATTTTAATGCCCTCTCTCTCTTTCTCTCTGTCTCTAATTTATTATTTCAAATTATTTTCTTTCTAGTTTAAAAATACACTCCCTTTGAGTTTTTTTACATCAATCAAGAAGTGGATATTACAGCTGATGGCTGTCGATCAACTAATGTAGGCTTACCAAGTCGAGATCTCCGGACAAAAATGGAGTATGGCATCAATGCCTACTGTCTCCCTACAGATTCAAATATCTATAGGTTTTGAAATTGAGTATGTACTTCATTGACTGATTTCAAGGCTCGTGAGACGAAGTTGGAATGTTCTCTATCATGGTATATTGGTCATGTGAAATTATATTTAAATAAAAATGAAAGTAAAAAATTGAAGGGAAAAATGCATAGAAGCCTTTTTAAAAATGAAGAAGTTGAAAAGGCATATACATATCATTGATTTTCTAAGTATCATTACATATATGTGTATTTAGGGGAATGCATATACATATGTGTATTTAGGTGATACATCAAACTACAATAGATAATAGTTGAAGATAATGATTTATTAAAAAATTGATTACACCACCATTATAGTGTGCCACATCATTGGTGCTTAGCATAAGTTAATGCTAAGCATCGACCGGTGTTTAAGAGATCTAGTGTACACACGCGTGATGAAAATGGAACTTTTTGTTAAGCCCGTGTTTGACAACCATTAAAATAATTTTTTTTCTTAAACTCATTTTCAACCATATATTCTCACATTAAATATTCTACACGTTGACTCACAGCTTTTGCATACTTTTTAATTATATATTTTGAAAAAAATCACTATTTCAAAACTTATTTTTCTCGAAAAATTCAGTTTAATGATTGTCAACACACGGGCTAATTCAAATAATCATAACTTTATGGAAAATAAAGAAAGAGTCAATAAGATGAACCCATTCGCAACTAAAGAAACAAGCTTGTGGACCAAATTTGCACATTAGACAATTTACATCAGTTGATAAGGCCTCATCATCGAATAAGATCGAGGCATTCCTTATCAAGCTAAAATCTGAGTTCAATTTATGGATTATCCTTAACGTGTCGCATTCAATTGCTAAAATCTTTAGTCTTTGGCTCTTGGCTTAGAGGAGGCCTTCTTCTAATGCAAGCGCTTCCACATCCTCTGGTGAGGATGCTACCATAATATGTTGTGCACCTGCATTAAAACCATTCCCTCATGAACCCAAATAACTGAGCCTACGCCAATATAGGTGATAAACCATAATTATTTTCATTAGTGCCTTTATTTTAGGGTGTAACTCCCGTAACTCATTTGTAATAATTTGTATCCTGATTTTATGGTGTAACTCACATGTAATTAGATGTAATTGATCCTATAATTGATCCATATGTACTTGTATATATTGAGAAACGCAAGATTCGACCCTACTACACCTAGATGGGGGGTGATTAAGTGTAAATAGGGAATTAAAATTTAATTAACATGCAACAAGTCAAAAGTCACAAGTCACAAGTTAATTATGTCTAGGTGATTAGTCAAAAAATTCAATTTAACCAATCTTGAAATACCGCAGTAATCACAAAGCAATAAATAAAGCAGTAAACAATACCAGAATTGTTCACGGAGAAACCCAACGTGGGAAAAATTTCGAGCACTTTGCCAGTCAAAAATCCACTATAAACTGTCAATAAAACTTACAAACTACCAGCAAAGTTGACAACACAAGCTTTCTGATCTCCTATCTGAAGTATGAAGCAGCCCTCCTGGAATGTGCACACCACCACCAATCCTGGCTCTTCTTTGTAAAGCAGTCCTCCTGGAATGAGCATACGAACTCCAATCCTGACTCTTTACACAGTTTATCTCTTGTAGATCTTCCCAAAGAACTCTTTTTTCAAACTCCTCCTTGATCTTTAATGCATCACAGTTGATGACACAATCTTGCAGCAGATCCAAGCGAAGAAACAAATTCAGTGTTTGATTTGATTGCTTTGATATTTTCAATGAAAAAGGCTAATGAACAATAAGGATTGAACTTTGGATCTTGTGTAGAATGTATTCTTCTTCAATAATGTGTTGTTCAATCCATCTCACAGAAAATACGGCGCCTTCAATATATAGTTTGGACGAATTAAGTTATATTGACCGACTAAAAAATCTAGGAGAAGGAAAATTAGGTTTTCCAGTTAAATACAAGCGAAGAGGCATTCTCGCTCGAGCGAAGTAGGTTCTGCTTCAGTCACTCAAGCAACACCCGGCGAACGGCTAGTGAAAATTCGGCGTGAATTCTTCTTATTCCAAACACATAACCCAAAACCCTAATCCTAATCTACGAACTATGAAATTTTACAATTTAGTC